GAAAGGAAGGACTGGAATAACTGACCCCTTTCTAAAAGGTGTTTATGTTATAAAACTGTTACATTAATAAGGTACTTTCTAGAAATCATTTTAATTACCTGTAAACACCACCAATGAGAGTCACAGGGTCATGCATTATCTCTCCCACTGAACTTGTATGGCACTGACATTCCTTAGTGGGATGGAGCTCAGAGTTAAGTGACCATGACTGTCTTTCCCGGATATTTACATAAAATAGGGATAGTTTCCTAATTTACTGAAGCTCTTATTGTTTGTAAATTGTCATAATCTTTCTATTAGGCTAAAGATACTCATGTAGATGGAAAAATAGTAAACTATTTATACATGTCAATGTAAGTTCACATTTATGAATAATAACTATATTTTTGAAAAAGAATTAGTGAGAACTATGTGATTAACACTTTTAACCACTTTACTGAGATAAAATTCACACATCATACACTTCACCCATTTCAGGTATGCAATTCAGTGTAGTAAACGGACAGAGGTGTGGAGCAATCACCGCTTCGAGATTAGCACACTGTCATCACCCCAAGGAGAACCTGGACCCTTAGCATCAGCCCTCTGGTCCTGCATTCCCACTGCCCTAAGCAACCTCCAATCTATTTTCTGCCTAAACATTTACTTTTCTGGACATCCCATATATAGAGAATCATATAATGAATAGTCTTTTGTGACTGGCCACTTTCTTTTGGGTAATGTTATCAAGATTCATCCATGTTGTAGCATTTCTTTTTATACCATCTCTTTAACACATGACTCTTCCGTTGCCCCTCTCCATGACCTTATTGCCTGGTGTGTTCTCACTGCTCCTGAGTTGATGAAATCCCAACATAGAGTAAATAGCATGCACCTTAGCCCACTGAGGAGATTTGTTTTTACCTGGTTACAGCAGAAAGACAGCCCACAAAACCTATGCAAGTGCTCTCCTTCAAAAGGTCATCAATAAACTGATCAGTTGTTTGTTGGTTGATACACATTCATTCATAGCGCACTGGCCATGGGACCATAAGATGTTAAGATGGTCCCAAAGGGGACCTGTGAAGAAAAGTGTCTCTCTACTCATGATTGCAGTGAGCACCTACTTACTTTCTGGAGCACGTTCCTGTATAAGGGGCTGTCGTTTCCTTATGGGACATCTAGGCACTGCACTCCCCATTAGATCATTTTTCTGACATCCTCTGAGACATTATGAGTGTTACAAGGTTCAAGACTGTATTGTGTCCTTCACTTATATAGGAAGACTACATTCACACTCCTAGCAAACTGGTAATTGTCTCCCAAATAGACAAATCCAAGGGATTGTGGTATTCATCATTATTGTGCATGCCATTCTATGTAACTACTTGTGTTCTTTTTTAGGCAGAGTGGTCAATGTGTCTAGCATAATGAGCTTAGTAGCTCTTAAGAACTGCAACCCAGGAATGCAGCAGAAGTTCAGAAGTGAGACTATCACAGAGGAGGAGCTGGTGGGACTCATGAACAAGTTTGTGGAAGACACAAAGAACAGGGTACAGACAAAGGAGGGCTGGCCTGATAAGAGGTCATTCACATATGGACTGTCAAAGATTGGTGTCACGGTCCTGTCCAGAATCCATGCCAGGAAACTGAGTGAGCAGAGGAGGGGAGACAGGATCCTCCTGAATGCCTGCTGCCCTGGGTGGGTGAGAACAGACATGGGTGGACCTACAGCCATTAAAAGCCCAGAAGAAGGAGCAGAGACTCCTGTCTACTTGGCCCTTTTGCCCTCGAATGCTAAGGGACCTCACGGGGAGTTTGTAATGGAGAAGAAAGTTGAACAATGGGCCCCCCCCCTCTCAGTTCCCTCCATGGGTCCCATTATGATACTTCCATGATTTGACCATGAGATTACACTATCAGCAATGTCCTTGTCAAAGAAAAGAAAGAAAGAACCTTTATTTGTATCAAGTACTCACCTTGAATTAGCTACTATTTCTGTGAAGTCTTCTGTGATATATGAGAAGGAAAAGTGGACTTAATGACAATAGTGAATGAACATCATAGATGAATAAAGAGTTATAAGTAAATGTCCATGTGTGCAGCTTATTGCTTGCCAACCAGCCCAAAAAACTAACAGAACCTAAGTTAGGTCAAGAGAAGGGACATTTTAACACAGGAGTTGATAAATATTAGTGAAAGAGCCACAGAGTGAATGTATTTGCCTTTGCAGGCCAATGGCTTCTGTTGGGCGTACTCATATCTGCTGTTGTAGCTTTAAAGTTACCAAAGATGATATATAAACCCATGAATGGGGATGGACTTCCCTTGCTAGCATACTTTATCAGCCTCTACTACGACATGTGCACCCCACCACAAAAAGACATTCTGTGGTCTCTTTAAATATCAAACTCACTGGGGAAAAACAATTTCAAGTTGTGAAAGGGAAGTAGGCTCTTACGATGCATCCATAAGACAACCTGAGACAAGGGAGAAAAGGAAATATGGATTGGTATCAATGAATATGAATTACTGTCAAATCTCCTCAAGGCGAATGCACTATTCATGTACAGATAACGTGTCACCAAGTTTGTAACATTAACAAGGTCCAGAAAGATCTCTAGAGAACATAGAGGATAGTAAAATACTCGTCATAGATGAATCTGGTTTGGTTGATACATGGGTGTCTACAGTCCCAGTCTTTCCACATACCTCTTTCAAAGCTTTAAAGACAAACATCTGGAAACAAAAACGTCCTGGCTCTGCCACCTTATGGGGTGACCTTGAGCAAAATCCTGCATGTTGCTGTACATCGGTCTCCTAAGTGTACAATTCTGGGGAAGTCATAGGATTTCCATGAAGAGTAAATGACTAATACAGGTGAACAGGCTGAAAACAAGGGCGATGCAAAGTGCCCCCTGTCAGTGTCCCCAAACTGGGGCCTGACACATCCAGGGCCCTGAGGGGAGCTTCTTACTGCCCCATACCCAGCCTGGCTCCTGGGGGCCTCCGTGAATGCCCATCACCTCCCTCCCTTCACAGAAGCATCCATGTTGTACAGACTTCCTCCCCTCATGATTATTTTTCAGTCTTCACCAGGGATTTCTGGCTGACAGAAATGAGAACTGATGGGCCCTGCAAGCAAGGGTTGGGTCCATACTTTATGTCTTTCCCTTCAAGGGCGCTTGAGTGACTCAGTCAGTTGAGCGTCTAACTTTGGTTCAGGTCGTTATCTCAAGGTTCGTGAGCCCCACATGGGACTCTGCCATCAGCACAGAGCCCACTTCAGAT